AATGATCAAAATTCTTATAATTTTTGTAATAATTGGTTGTATTGAATGTAACAATAATTTTTGTGAATTCATACAAAACAATGGCACATATATTGACATCCAAATACAACACTCCCATGAAAACCATGTCAATACAATTACACCCTCTTATAAAATGTTTTCAAAGGGAATGGAGTGGGAGTTCACTATAGAGAGGGATACCATTGATAGTACACTATTGAGCGCCGTAATGAAACCGAGTAATCAAATGCAGCCACCCTTATATCCAATCAATGGTCATATAATGAGAGTATGCGGACCAAACTACCGTGGTCAATATCCCAACATTGTGAATCAATTTGTTGGTATAGTTAATCGTCGGTATAATACAAATGAATTTGATTTTTATTGTTGCGATGTTTACGATAAGGTATGCGTTTAATGTGGATAATTAACATTTTTAAATTAAAAATTTTTATATTTATATTGCTTATTTATTATAATAACTTATAATAAATATATCTTATTCAAGGTGACCGAGATTGAGACAAATTGTTGGCTTCGTTATGTTAAGAAACATGTCATATACAGTATTCAATACAATCCAAAGGCTATTATATTTAATACAATATATGATAACAATACGGATTATAGTTATCACATGATTTTGGACACCAATGACAGATCGGTGCGTATTCTAAGATATATTTGGCACAAAAAGTCGGGTAACATGGATTTTATCGATCACAACGATTGTGTGTACAAAGAGTGTCGGAAACCTGTATTTGTGGATCAAATACCCAATCAGTTAATGAGACAATTAAAAGGTATCGTTGACTATAATATGGGACCCGATATGAGGGGTCATATGTTATGGTTCAACATCTCTGGTCAGCCCCGCTATTGCTTCACACCCGACGACAAACCACTCTCACAACAAGTATTGTTAAATAAATTAAAAATATATAATAAATTGTAAACTAAACTCTATTTTCAGTGTTCTTTTGTTAAAAATCTGGTTTTGTTTGGAAAACAATGTTTTCCTGAATTGGAAACTCTTGACAATGAATCTAACGATTTAACACCTCATCAAATATTATACAAAAATAATATCTGCACTTTATTATTAATATTGTTTTTTGTAGCATTAATACTAATTGTTCTAGTTTTGACAATTTTATGCACCAAACACATCAATTGGTTAAATATATCATATAAATTTTTTACCAATTAATTGTTATTAATATTCAATAATTAGTAAAGCCTCTATTTTTCGGGAATTCCCGATTAAATTTTGTTATTCAAATGATCGGGAATAACATCCCATTAGTCTCGAGGGTTATAAAGGCTCCAAAATATATCATTTTTATTTTCCCGAATTTTCCCAATTTTGGCATATTTTGCGAAAACTCCCGAATTGCCCATTTTATTCCCGATTTGTTCGAAAACTCCGTTTTTATTGAAAATAAAGTTATTAATTACTTTATGCATCAAAATTATTGTCCATTTAATTTCATAAATATATTTGTAATTTTAATTCTATAACTATTTGTTAACTATATTTAGTCTAGCTCTTACAGTAAAGTATAATAATTACATAATTGTTATTACTACATTATGGAACATATTTTATAAAATATAATTAATAAAGCAATATTACTTTTATTTTCAATAAAAATAACATACAATAAAGATTCATAATAAGTATTAATTTCACAATATTCATGAGAAACAACACATTGAGGTGTTATCTTTATTTTTATAATTTTTGCCAATTATTTTTTAATTATTATTATTAAAAGTCTAACAACTAAACATATCACTGGTAGTTTGATGTTGACAAAATATAACATTTATTTATGATTAATTTCCATATACAAAATAATTTGTCAAATAAAATTCAAACTCATTGTTTTGGTAATTTTGTACAGCAAGCACAATAATTGGCCAACTATCTTATTTGATGTTGATAAAATATAACATTTATTTATGATTAATTTCCATATACAAAATAATTTGTCAAATAAAATTCAAACTCATTGTGTGATCAAATAATAACTCTATTATAACTTATAATTTATAAGTTATAACGCTTTTACTGACATTGAAATATGTGAAAGGGGAAAATCCTTGAAATTATGGTTAAATTTTTGAATTATAACTAATTTGTTATTTTAATAACTTATTTATTAAATTGATTACAAAAGTAGCACTATAGTAAACATTTTAATAAATAATTAAATTGCACTCATATATGCAAATTAACATTTTATTAAGGTAGTTCATCTATAAAGTGATTATAATATTAAAATATTTTAATATAATTAACTTATTAATTATTTTTTATAACCCAAAATTAAATTATGGTTATTTAAGAACAAATAATTCATATAATTAACAATAAAATTTTATTTTAAAAAAAATTTCATAAGTATTTTGCAATATTTGTTTTACACCAGTGTTTTTGTAATAATAATAATATACACATTTTGACTGACAATCCTCTCAAACAATTCAAACAAAGGGAGATTGAGATAGAGTTGTGATTAAAAACCAACAGTATATTAGTGTACATCTATTATCTTAAGTACTTTATCATGGTGATTGCGATGAACAATTGATTGATACTTGAAAACTGCTACTATCAAATACAATACTTATTGTTAGTGATTTTATTAGGGTAAAAATTTATCACTTTTAGTTTATTTGCTCCAATTGTTTGAAGTGTTATCAATTGTAAAAACATCTATAAAAACTTAAATGTGATAATTAAACGTATTATATATGAAAAATACAATAAAAATTTAATTAATTTATTATACGTGGGCAAAACAACAACAACAAAAATGAACATAATAACTTTACCGACTATTATTTATGTGCTATTATCTAATGTATCATCATGTCTATGTGTGTTTGAACAGACTGACCATGATCCAACACAAGCATTTGATTTACTTGATTGTTTAATAGATTATGATGGTTATACTATAAATGATCCAGCTAATATTGGCAACCATAGTGTTTTGTTACCGCAAAATATATCAAAATTATTAAGCGATGCCTTTTATTTGGCCTCCAATGATATGCTGGACTACGAGGTGGCCCTAAATCTCACTAAATATCTCAAATATGACGATAGTGTCGAGTCGTGGACAGCCGGCCGGTCAGCGATGGCCACCATTAGGACACACGTCGGTCGGGACGTGAATATAGCACTTAATTATTATATGAATGACTTGATTGGCCAACACTATCGAAATGTCGGTTGGGATGACCGCACCAATGGATCAGATGCTAGTGATGTGGACCAGAAATTAACATTTCAAGCCCTGGTGTTGGACACGGCGTGTGATTACGCGGTCTACGATTGTTTGCAGACAGCGGCCAAAATGTATGACATATGGCAACAAAATGAGAGTAAAATTAGTGCAAATATATTGCCGGTTGTGTTGAAATACGGCGTTCAGGATAGGCATGGATTTGATTACTTGATGGACAGGTATGCCGGCAGTGCTTCAGCACATGATAAGACACTGTATTTACAATCGTTGACCAGCAATAGAAATCTGGAATTTATTAAAATGTAAGTAATTTTATTTATTTATTTATATTAATTAAATAATCTTATTTTTATTATATTTATATTTTTATAGTCTTTTAGACAAAGCGAGTGATGAATTGTTTGTGAAAAGTGAGGATTATTTTCACTTTTTGTTGAATATAACACTCAATACAAGTGACGGCAACATAGATATTGTTTGGCAATATTTTAGTGATAATTTTCAGAATATAATTAATAGGTAAGTTTGTCCAAGACATTATTATAAGTCCGTGTTACTATGAAATTATCTATGTTTAAAAACTTGGTAAAAAATAATTATTCATATTATAGATCGCGGTGTTCTCTAAGGGTAGAAAATGGGTATTTTTAAAACTCATACTTTATGCTCAAATATTTTACCTCTCTATGGTTTATATACAGAATCATGAGGTCTAACATGAAAAATGTTTGGTTAAATGAATATTTTCGTACGTCTTGTTATAGATCAACCATTAAGGACGAAAATATTGTTCACTTTATTTATGCCATATGCAATAAATTTACAAACTCTAAGCAAATACAACAGGTTCATTTTAAAAACAATTATTAGAGAATTGTCAAATACTATTAAATAATTAACTATAATTATATGACAGGTGATGGACTTTTTAGAGACATACCCTGTTATGACAGCGGATAACCCATATCTTAACAAAACTATCGACACATTGGAAAGGAATATCGATTGGATTAATAAAAATGAGATATTGGTTATCGAGTGGATTACCAATCAGTGCCCAATAGAAGTGTGTGTTTGGCTCTACGCCAGACTCGACCCGAGGGTAATACCAGTCCATTACGATCTTCGACTACAAGTGGACACCACTGGCGACACATTCAACGGATCCGTTGAGATAATAGTGATTGACGACACCGGCAGTGGTGTCGAGTATCTGGTGCTACACTCGGCTGGAAATCTTACCATCACTGGTGTCACTGTATATATCACCGGCACTGGTGGTGGAGGTGGTGACCATCCGGTGCCCGTTAAGCAGACTTTTTATTACCAACCGTTGGATTACTTTGTCATTCAATTGGCAGAGCGGTCGGCGCCGGACACTACCGGCTATCGACTGGTGTTGCGCTTCGAGTCACCGCTACTCCCGGACCCAAACTCGGGTCTCTATAAGACTACATACGAGTTGAGCTCAGGGAGGCCTGAATCGGCGGCCGTCACTCAATTGTGGCCCGAAAATGCCCGCAAAATGTTTCCCTGCTTTGACGACCTGGCCTTTAAGGCAACGTTTAACATAACACTAATTTACCAAGCTCATTACAATGTTACACTCACTAATATGCCAGCTCTGGACAGTCGAGTGGACAGTCCGACCCCGGGCTGGACAACAACCCAGTATCAGCGCTCAGTCCCAATGGCCACATACCTGGTCGCTATTTTAATAAGCAAGTTTAGTTGTCATAATACCGGTGCGATTAGACTGTGCGCCCGCAGTGGGCTCGAAGATAAACTAGGTTACGCCATGAATGTTACCAAGGCAACATTGCCGGTGTTTGAGCAGTACATGGGCAGTGAGTATCAATTGCCCAAAATTGATCTAGTTGCTGTTCCCGGCTTTTCTGGCGGTATGGAAAACTGGGGTTTAATTGTGTTCGGGAAACGGGAACTGTTGTGGACGGCCGCCGAAGACACCACCGCGAGTATGATGACTGTTAACATGTTTATATCTCACGAGTTGGCACATATGGTAAGTATAATGCATGTGTTTGTTTGCATTATTGGTCTAGTTTATTTCATAAATTAATTTTCTTGGGATAACCAGTGGTTTGGGAATTTAGTCACTTGTGGCCAGTGGTCTGACCTATGGCTAAATGAAGGGATCGCTTCGTTCATACAAAACGTGGCCACAAATAGTACACAAAGTCAATGGCATTATGTAAGTGGTATCAACTTATGATGTAATGATTGTATCTAGGTTAATTAAATGAAGCATCTGGGTTTATGTCGATATAGTGGGAACTGTACGCCAATAATACTATCGCCACTGCCATGAAAGAGGACTCACAGGAAGGGTCGGTACCAGTAATACAACCGGCGCAACGGTTCGCGGACCTCAAATTCTCAGTCCCTATATATTACACAAAAGTAAATTGTAATTTTTCATGTGTTAAATACTGACCATGGTGTAATTATTGGCTTTAATTTAGGGATCGGTTGTGATCCGGATGTTGGAGTCGGCGATGGGTAGGGAGCGGTTCCGCGACGGCATTCGGGGTTATCTCAAACAATATTCATATCAAACAGTGGTCACCGACAATTTGTGGCAATCATTGAATAAGACTTTCCCGAAAGTATTTGTTTTAATAATTTATAATAATTTTTTAAAAATTAATTTCTTTAATTTCCAAGAGTTATGACACAAATATTGTTGAATTAATGGACACATGGACTACAAAACCGGGCTTTCCATACATTAACATTACGAGAGATGCACACAATCCACACATCGTTACCGTAACTCAGGAAAGGTTTTTATCAAATGGACAAAAACCTATTGAAGAGTAATGCAAACAATTATTACCATGATAACAAACTTACCATATATTAAATATGTTGAAAATTGCCGATTTTAGCACTTTGTGGACAATACCGCTCACGTATTATTCGTCCGCAGACTATGGAAACAATTATCAAACAGTATTTATAAAACAAAAACAGCAAACAATTAACATCTCGGTGAATGGGTTAATAAAATTCAACGTCGACTTTAATGGCATGTATATCGTTAACTATCCGCCCGACGATTGGGACAAATGGACGGCCGCTTTGGCCGCCAATGAAGACACGATTGTTCATAAACTCACACCCAATGATCGATCGGATCTGATTTTGTCGGCATTTTATTTGGCAAAAGCGGACAAACTATCGGCGATTAAACCGCTGGAAATGACCAGATATTTACTCAATGAAACCCATTTCACGCCGTGGGCTGTGTTTAACACCGAGTTTGCTGACATTAGACGTCGGACATCGTTGACCGCATACAGGAGTCACTTGAATAAGTATATGAGGTCTTTGACCGCTAAACAGTATCACCGACTGATGGGTTGGGACGACGGGATGGGCACTGCTATCGACCGGTTGTTACGCCGACTGATAATTGAAATGAGTTGCGAAAATGGATATGAACTGTGTTTAAAAGACTCATATCAGGCGTTTAAGAAGTGGATGTCAGGCCAACCCGTGACACCCAATCTCGCCACGTATATGCTCTCCTATGGGATCAGATACAGTGATAAATATGAAGATTATGATTATGTTTGGCGTAAATATATTAATTCAGACGATAAACAGTATCGATATTTGAGCGCTTTATCTCAGACTAAGAGCATCACCTTATTGAATGAGTTTGTATTTTTACCATAATTCATTAGCAAAATTATTTATTAACGCTATGTGAATTGGTTTTACTTAGGCTTTTGGCTAAAGTAATGTCTGACCCCTCGGTTCCGGTCAACCACTTTGTTTCGTTGGTGTCCGACATGTCGTCGACCGCCGACTCCCGGCCTATTGTTTGGCAATATTTTCAAACAAATTATGAATTAATTGTCAAGAGATTGAGTTCACGTCAGTTATCGCAAGCGTTTCTTAGTATTTGTAGTAATTTTGGTGATAATAATAGCAAATCTGAAGTAAGCTTTGTTGAGTATTAAACATTTAATTGTTTATTCAATATATAATTTATTAAATTTAAATTTTATGCCAAATAAAAGGTGGAAAACTTCCTAAACTTGTATCCAAACACCGGTCTCTCAAACACTAGTCGTGCGAACGGTTTGAATGAAATTCAGGCAAATATTGATTGGATTAAACAAAGTGGTGACACAATTGGCCAATGGTTCGCTACGAACATCAATTAATCATGATCTATTAGTAAATTGTAATTATTTTTGACATGTAATTTCATGCGAGTATTGCTGTAATTCTCACTAAACAATTGGACATATCATTGAAAATAATTGTATTTTCATTAAAGTTGTTGAAAATCACTATTAAATTAAATAAATCTAAAAATAGCTATAAATGTTGATTTAATGTAAACATTTGTTATCAAAAAAATAAGTTCACTTTTAGTGTAGAAATATTTTATCTACATTAAGCAGTCTGTTATATAGTGTACTTTTCA